CAAGCTGCTCAATTTCATAATGTAATAACATTTGTGTAATAAGCAAAGAGCTTGAAACATTCATAAAAGCAACTCCATTGCCTGCTTACCTCATTGCTCAACCAAAACTGTTCTAAAATTCCAGATGAATGGGATAGGGGCCGCTTCGCGGCCCAGGTGCCCAATAAAATCAAAACACTAGGACTAGGACTAGTTCACAAGTAGCAGAGCCTTACACCAACTTTAACCATCTGATTGTGTTATGTAAACATGTTAATAATTTATTAAATATGCCTATAGATTAAACGCAGATTTAATCTGACCACCGCCTCTGCAATTCACCGTCATTATTCCAGGGGCATAATCACCGATGAAAGTGTGAAGTGTCAGCTTCGCGGACAGGTACACTGTAATAGAACTCAGTTCCAGTGCACAAGCAGTGACGCCAACTGCAGACGTGCCAACTTTTAATCCCTTCCATTATCATTTTTCCCAGTGGTATTAAAATGGAATTAAAACTTCAATTTTAAGCAAACAAATACGTTGTATTTGAAAACAATTAAGTTGACAACCATGATGCTGGATATTGGGGTTATCTCGGCGTTTGGCGCGAAGCGCCACTAACCGATTCATCGATTCTGTTTTGTTGTATTCTGGGAGGTCCTATATATCTTTGAAGTTGTAGTATGTTTGACATCCATGATAGTAACACATATTAATATATAAGCTTAATTTTTGTAAGAATAGCGGTGATCAAAATCATTTAAAAATTAAATTAATAAAAGAAAAAAAAAGTATATATTTGCTACCACTTTAAATATGAAAATAAAATCGCCCGCAAAGTGCGGGAGAGTTGGCAGATATGCAACTGCTCTCAACACGCCAAAATGAATAAAAAAACGGTAAATAACTACAATGCAAATATTTGACTACTTTAGCTTGCTTGCATGACCTAATTTTGTAATAAGTGAGGAATAATATAAGCCTACGAATTATTTAGAAATATTGGTGGATAAAAATCTTATGAATTGAATTTTTTAAACCAAGAATCACAATTGATAAACTACCACAAAAATATATTTGCTGTCCGGAACAAGTTGGCATCTCTGTGCACAAGTTATGCTGGACCTTTTAAAAATAAAGCAAAATTAGTCAAATATTTGCAAATTTTACTTTGTCGTTGTTTGCCGTTTTTTTAAAAATTATTTTGGCTTGTCCGGAGCAGTTGGCATCTCTGTAACTGTATGAAAATTCATTCCCACTGGACCTCTAAACTTTATAGTGGTAGCTTAAAAATGATATTATTACTAGCATCAACTTAAAATCTTTACAGCAATTAAATATTTCTGATACCCATGAGAATTTTGTATTGAAAGAAAAGTTGTAACTATTATAACTTGAACGGATTTAATATTTGTTTTTATTCAGTTCATATAGTCGTTATTATTAATATCTGTATGTTTTAATCAGCTTATCTAAAGATCACTCGTAAAGCTGGTATCTTGACAACTGTATCCTCATTTGACTATGAATATGCCACTTCCCATGAGTGGAACATCAGTTGCGAAGTGAAAAGTGGTACAGAAAGAGGCACTTTTATGGCTTTACTTCAAATTATGGTTATAGATGTGGATGACAATGCGCCGTACGTTCAAAACAGCACCAGTCTTTTCCAAGAAATTGATGTATCACAAGTTATTCCAGTGAGTTGATTTTTATATCTTAATTATTATTTTTTTTTTCACAATTGAACTACGATTATAGACAGATCTTTCTTTTGCGTCTTCTTTTTTTTCTTTCAAAGATTTTGTGTTGTTGCTTTTTGATGCTAATGTTTCTTGAAACTGTGCAATTTTTTTCTTTAAGAAGACAAAGGCATTTCTTACTCAATAGCTTTTATGAGTCACTGCTCCCATTTTAAGCTTGTTAAATTTTCCTTGCGAACACTGAGATGCGTCGAATCGAAATGATTTTCACAAATTCACAGGTTTCTGAACATAATTTTTTTAAAATATTATTTATAAATATTATTATCTATATATACATATTTCTCTGACACGGCGACAAAAAAAAGACTCATTACAACTCCCCAAATGGTAGCGCTAGAAAATCGACCGATGATTGCCACTAAAAATGTCACATGCCAAATCTAGCTGAGGTGGCTCAACATATATCCCTTTTAAAAACGGAAACTGAAATAACCTTAAGCTAGGCAGAAGTGAGTAGTCTTTGTCGATAGATCTCTATTTAGTCGAAAGCGCTTTTTTCACGAATTTATATATTACGAATTTATTTGACGATTTTTTATTTCTATCACGAATTTATTTGTTTTATTATTGTTATTAGTTATTCATTGAAAAATGAGTCTCTTTGTACCTGNTTTGTTTTTTGTGTTTGATTACTATATAATATATGAAATAACGAAAATTTATTTAATGATTATAAAATGAATTTTATCATAGAAAAGACTACAACTATGCGAACTGATATTAATTAATAATTAGGTAAGTCAATGATTACGGCTCTTAACACCTCCGCTGTGCAATTTTTAAAAAAAAGATAGAAGAATAACACTGGGGACCAAATATTTTGTTGCATTTATACCAGTGCTCCTTCTTACCAAATTCGGATAGGAGGATTTCCAATCTGAAATTATTATTATTATTTTTTTGATCGGGAACAAGACTTGCAAACAAAATGTGTAGTAAAGGATTAAATAGTTTTAAAATCGTTCTTAAGTTCTATAAAACACACGTATGGTGTGGCAACAATTAGCGTTAAAAATGCTCGAACTAAGCCTGATATACTTCAGATATTAATATATTTATTTGTTTTTTAATTAGTTGACAAAGTCAATTTCTACATTTAGAGTAAAAATGTCTAAAATAAAATGAAAAAAAAATTTTTTTTATACGGCTTTGTGTGACATAAACTTTAATATATATATATATATAAATTTGTTTCAGGGAAAGCCATTACCTCTTCAACTGACTGTTCTTGATCCAGACACAGCATCAGTGAACGATATTACAGTGCAATTAAATGATCCTCTACAATTGTTCTCCCTCAAAGATCCGGTTGTATTTCATGGTGTAAACAAGACCAATATGCTGATTAATACAGGTAAAGAGAGAGTTGCAGAAATGCCTGCTTTCTCCACTTTGTGGAGGCATTTCTTAGTGTCAATTACGTAATATTTCATCACTCGTTAAGTTAAGTGGATTTAGAAGAATTTTTTTCTCTACAACCTATAAGCTTTGTAAACATACATTTCAAATGTTACTTAAATCTTATCATTTTGAGACGGAACCTTTAACCCTTTGCCGAGCTGCGAATTTCGGTTGAAAATTTTGGTCGGGAAACAATGCAGCAGCGATGACCTCTCGCAGTGTATTCCTATTGGAGAAACATATTTTATCTCGCTGTTTAAAGAATAATAGTAGCTGAAAACTGGTGAATTTTCAGTTACAAGCTGGGGTGCCACAAACGACTAAAAATGTAGGAAGTGGCAAATTCTTATTTAATTTTTTATATATTTAATTATTCAGTTGTAAATACCACATTGTAAATTATTTAGGGTTCCGTAATAGAAAAAAAATTGGAACCTCTGGGCTAAAATGTAAAAAACAAATATTTCACTGTCCTTAGAAAGGTTTCATGATAGCAAAAAAAAGAGAATAACTCAAACCATTTAGTATAATTGTAGTTTCGTTATCTTCTGGTACTGCGGTGGGTCCGGGATATAACATTCCCCTTCCAATGAGGTTGAACAGAGTTCGAATCTCAGCAGTGGCACTTTGATACGAATTCTTCTCCCTGTTCACACCGACCACATTGCTGACATAAAAATATGCTCTGTGGTGGACGGATCATGAGCTAGAATTCCATTGCCGTCGGGTTAACAGTTTGAGGTTTGCGTAATTTTCCACTCTATGAAACACAAGTGCTTGTTAATTCCACCGAAAAATCCTCCACGAAAGGCTAGTTTGTTCCAATTCCAGATTATGGAATTCCCTTGTCTTCTGAGTCGGAATTAAAATTACTAGGCGACGGAGTAGAACATTGATAATCGTAAACTCAAAATTTTGGGCCAACTGTTCAACGCTGATTTTAAAATAAAAAATAAAATAAATGTAGATCTATGTGAAAACAAACTCTATCCTGCTAATCCGATAAGCTTGATTGTATAACCTTGAAAAATGACATTTCTTCTAGCACTGCAGTAAATTTGCAACCACTATTACACTCTTCTAAGGTTTTGTTCATGATAGAGAAAAATTATAAAATATTTTAAAAGTTTTTAATTGCAGAAAAAAGATATTAGACTATTGAATTAAATTTTTCTCCGGTTTTATAATTCGAACAATAGATTTAATGTTCTATGCGCCGAAAAAGAATTATCAATCTTAGTAAATTTTGATTAAATAAATGAATTATCACTTACTAATATTTAATTTTATTCTTGGAGCGACACCAAATATTTTAATTACAATTAATTATTACGAAATCAGATACAAAAGCATTTTTCCTCCGAATAAACATATATACCACGAAAATTGTTTTCTTAACAAGTAGAAAAATTTTCATAATAAATTGCAAGAGATGTAGTACGTATATTTTAATTAAAATTTTACTTTCACTAAAGTAGTCTATATAAATGTCTTTTAAAATTTGTTAAATTAAATTTTGCTATCTGCAAATACTTACATTTCCCAACCTATCAGATTTTTGAAGATAGAGTGATATAGTTTTGAAAGTTTGGATAAAAATAAATAAAAGATTTACTAAGAAAATATTCAAACCCTTAAAAGTGCTCACTAATTTTCTGAATTTATTTTTCTTATTGACTTGACATAACTTCTTTAAAACTTCTTAAGCTTCTCTTCATTGCATGGAAGTGAAAAATTATTTTTTTGTCTTGTTTGTCTGCTTAATAAAATTATTTTTTTATATTTTTTAATAGCTCTTGTGCCCAAAGCCAAGTTTCACTTTCCCGAAATTTCTTACAATGTGACAGTGACTTTTAATGATACACATCTCATCACGAAAAACGAAGTAAGTTAGAGAATTGAGCATTTGATTTATATAAATTCAAAATTTCGGTTCCATGTTGACCTCCGCTTTTACGTAATCACATAATTACTGTTCCACGTTAATTGCCCTCTTTACGAACTCAGATAATTATTTTTCGACGTTGACCTTCGCTTTTACAAACTCGTTTGATTACTGTTCCACGTTGATTACCGTCTTTACGAACTCACCTAATTATTGTTCCACATTCATTGCCATCTTTACGAACTCAGATATTTACTATTCCACCTTGACCTCCTTTTTTACGAACTCGCATAATTACTGTTCCCTATTGACCTGTGCTTTTACGAACTCAGAATAGTTATTATTCTTATTGACATTCGTTTTTACAAACTCACATAATTACTGTTCCACGTTGATTGCCGTCTTTACGAACTCAGATAATTAATGTTTCTTGTTGATTACCATCCCTACAAACTCAGCTAGTTAATATTCTACTAGTGATCTTCGCTTTTACGAACTCGCATAATTACTGTTCCCTGTTGATCCCCGTCTTTACGAATTCATAGAATTGCTGTTTAAGGTTGACCTTCGCTTTTACGAACTCTTAGAATTAAAATTCGCTGTCATTACGAGCCCCCACTATCATTGTTCCCGTTGACTTCCGTTATTACAAACTCACAAAATTACTGTTCCACGTTGACCTCTACTTTCATGAACTCACAGATTTACTTTGCCACTTTGACCTTTGCCTTATCGAACTAATTGATTGTCGGTATCACCATAATCTCCACTTTTACGAATTCATTTATTTGTGAGTATCTATTAAAAAATATCATGAAATTGATTAATGCATAAAATGTCTTAGTTCTCTCTCACAATTACGTGTTTTCAAAATAGTAATAACTTATGCTATTTTGAGTCAATATATGAGGTAGCCAATTGCTGTAAGATTCTTTTAATCCTAAGATTTTGTTTAATAATCGGAAAATTAAGTCAATTTCGAAATAGGAGAAAATGCACTCAAGTTAGATAAAACAGGATTCACGCTTCGGGGGACGGATGCGAAATATTTAAGAAGTTTCCGGTTTATCACACCGCAATACATAACTTTGTATGTACAGACAAAAAAAGAAAAAGCAGACCACTCTAATAACTTTTGAGCGGTTACTCGGATTTTCCCTCTGTAAAGTGTAATATTTTACTTTTTACTTTGAGCAAAACCCTAATTTTTTTTAAAGAAAGTTTAAAATTATTTTATAACCTAATTTAAATTTCAAGACTCTTGTGAACAGCGTACATATAACTAACAGTATTGTTATGTATTTAAATATAATTTGCTTTTATTCAAATAATTATTCAGTTATAATTTAAATAAATGATTTAGTTGCCTTGATGACAATTTGAAATGAAAAATTTAAATTATTAAAAAAGTATAAGCAAATGAAGTTAATTTGAATGTTGCCAATTGTAAGGAACTATACCTATCACTGAATGAAAAATAAAACTATGTGTTTTAAATTTAAAAGAAGGACAAACTTATCTGGTTTTTTTTGTTTTTTTAAAATTTTATTTGTTTTATTTTTTTATTTATATTTTGTGTCAGTAATCATTAAAGAAAATTATATTAGTAGTGATTACTTAAATATATACTTTTAGATAGAATTTTTTCCCCCAAACTAATACCCGATTTTAGTTGTATAATTATTAATTAATTTGGAGAAAAAAAAGAATTCTAAATAAATAATACTAAAAATTCTAACTAAATAATTATAAGTTATTATGAATATCGGTGATCTGTACAAAAAAATCTTTCCATCACTATACTGTAAAAAAGGGTTTCTCAAAATCGAGCTAAACAGTGTCAAAATAGCTCCTAAACCAATTATGGTCAAATTTGAAAAACCCTTATATTTCAAATTAAAACAGCATATACTCATTTTTGAGTAAAATGCATAGTCTCAAAAGTGATATGAAGGGAGAAATGTGTGTTCGTTGGCTGAGGGCAGGATTCGAATCAAGAACCTTCGGGTTCGTAGTAGGCTGCTCTAACTACCCTTACAATCCTGCCCAGGGAGAGTAAGAAAGCTTTATTTATTGCATTCGCTAAAATGTTTTTAAAATATAGTGAAGCAAAAAAATTGAAGTTAAAATTTCTGATTTCTGGACTAAGCTATTGGTATCGTATTTTCATATAAAATAATCGTAACAAAACATTTCATAACAAAGCACTCTATCAACCCAAATTCTTTATGGAAAAAAATCTTGACTATTTTTATCTAATTTATTTTTAGGACTCTTATATTGAGTTTCACGTACAGATAACTAACAAAACAATATATCCACCTAGTACTGTACTTGAACCCAAAAGTTTAGAAGTGGTTGCCAGCATATTTCGACATTCCTCTCAACACGCTAGAGTAAGTAATTTAATGATAGTAGTTTGAAAATATCTATTCAATGCAAATGTTGAAACATGGCTCATTTTTCGTTGTGTAAAATATGACATATTCAAAATTCCTAAACTGTAACAGAGAAAGGATTGTAAAATTGCATGCATTAGCTCATTATACAAAATCAAAGGCATACATGAAAAACATACTTTTACATGAAAATATGTGTTTCTTCTATATTTTTTATTGTAAATAACAAATCTATGTTTACTTTTTGTCTACCACGCACCATTTTACTAAAAATTCACATTTCAGCTCGATAATCTTACGCATTTTTACAGCTGACAAGTGCAACTTAACAGGCAAAGGAAATCAGGGACAGTGAGACCGTCGCCAACTTGGCTACCACTTTGAAACTGGTTACTACTTTGGAACCAAATGCTGAAAAGCAGCACATTTGCTGTTACGTAAATTGGTACTTACAACTCATGATTCCTAAACTGTAACGAAAATGAGTTCTAAAACTTTTATACATTAGCTCACTATACAACATGAAAATGTCTTGAAAATATGGATTTCTTGTATGTGCTTTGAACAAAAATTATAAATCTGTTGTTACTTTTTGCCTGCCACGTACCATTCTCCCTCAAAAAAAGCAGTTCTAACTTTAAACAGCTCACAGACTGTCGTTAGCTTACCCTAGTCAAAATTCTTGATGGTTCCATCAAAACATTTTGATGGTTTCAGTGAGATTCATAATGGTCCGACATCATTTGATGGTAACCATCCGAAAATTCACCAGAGTGACTTTTCTCCTACAAAAACGGTTCTAAATAGACCATTTCTGCTTTGATACATGAAGCAAGCACTTTTTCTTTATGCAGAATCGCTTAGTTTTATCTAAATGGAAGAAATAACATTCAAATATGCTGTATAGTGTTACGTTTTTATATGTTTAATTAGGGTAAGAAAACAATTTTTCAAAAACGTGAGTATCAAATAGTTCTGAATTAAATTTCCTTCGTTAAAGAATTATATTAGGTTATTTATTGGAGACTCGGTGAGTTTTATGTGTTTAATGTGTGAGTTTTATGTGTTACGTTTTTATGTGTTTAATTAGGGTAAGAAAACAATTTTTNAAGCACTCTATCAACCCAAATTCTTTATGGAAAAAAATCTTGACTATTTTTATCTAATTTATTTTTAGGACTCTTATATTGAGTTTCACGTACAGATAACTAACAAAACAATATATCCACCTAGTACTGTACTTGAACCCAAAAGTTTAGAAGTGGTTGCCAGCATATTTCGACATTCCTCACAACACGCTAGAGTAAGTAATTTAATTATAGTAGTTTGAAAATATCTATTCAATGCAAATGCTGAAACACAGCTCATTTTTCGTTGTGTAAAAAATGACAAATTCAAAATTCCTAAAAGGTTTGTAAAATTACACGCATTTGCTCATTATGCAAAATCAAAGGCAAACATAAAAAAACATACTTTTACACGAAAATATGTGTTTCTTTTATATTTTTTATTGTAAATAACAAATCTATGTTTACTTTTTGTCTACCACGCACCATTTTACTAAAAATTAACATTTTAGCTCGATAACTTTACGCATTTCTACAGCTGACAAGAACAACTTAGCATTCAAAGGAAATCATTGACGGTTAGACCGTCGCCAACTTGGCTACCACTTTGAAACTTGGTTACTACTTACTGCTTTGGAACCAAATGCTGAAAAGCAGTACATCTGCTGTGACGTAAATTGGTACTTGCAACTCAAGATTCCCAAACTGTAACGAAAATAAGTTCTAAAACTTTTAAAGATTAGCTCACTATACAACATGAAAAATGTCTTGAAAATATGGAATTCTTGTATGTGCTTTGAACAAAAATTACAAATCTGTCGTTATTGCTTGCCATGCACTATTCTCCTTTAAAAAAATCCGTTCTAACTTTTAACAGCACACAGACCGTCGTTCACTTACCCAAGTCAAAATTCTTGATGGTTCCATCAAAACATTTTGATGGTTTATGTTGGTTTCAGTGAGATTCATAATGGTCCGACATCATTTGATGGTCACCATCATCCAACATTTTCCATTACGCGTTCATAGTTTTTGATATGCCAACAAACTTCCATCATTCCATGATGGCAAATGTTTCTTTAATACTATGATGTTTAACCATCAAGAGAAGTTTGATTTTCATGGACCATCAATCCATGATGGTCCGTGGTGGTTCCAACTATGAATTTCCATGATGGTTTAATGGTAATTCTTTCTAATTCTCAGGAATAGACCATTAAAGCGATTTTTTTTTGTGTTGGCCCATATAAAATCAGTCCGAATTCCTACATTGGAGTGATGGTAGTTCATTATAGTAATTGGTGATCGATAGCATAGCTCCCTGACATCTCTAAAAATTGTTCAAACAAAAGCATAAAATCATCAGTATCAATAATCAATACAGATGTATTAACTAACTTGAGACTATATGTACTCATAACTTTATTAATCCTTATAATGGTGCACGTTAAATCTGTCGGGGTCACAAAATCCTCCAAGTTTTCTTAACAAATCAATACCTCTGACGGTACTAAATTGGAGTTTGATAGTTCGCTATTTCAAGTAAAAATTATGATCTGTGGATAAATAAATGGATGTATCAATGAGTTTGTTCTTCAAAACCGGCTGTGATGTGTGTGTGTCTAAAATCGTATTATTTCCCATAGATGGCGTCTCTAAAAGACAAGAAACGCATCCTTTGTCTTAAATTCGCCTGGTTTCCCAAGCGAGGGCAAGTGGCAATCGAAACAACAACAATCCTTATAACTTGATTGATTATAAAATCATTTTCTAACAACAAAGTTTATAGTAGAATGCCATGTAACTTTAAAAAGCGTTAGTATGCAGTAATTTAACAAAAACTTTGATACATTTTTTGTTACAATTAATTATTAATAATCTTTTGTTTAATTGCTAAATGATGTCTCGTAATTTTTTAAACATCGCAAATTAAACAAGATCGGAAAAAGATACATTCATCAAACATTAAGACTCTGTATCTAAATATTAACAAACATGGAGTTGATACACTTTATAAATAGACCATCATAAAGTCAATTACTCTGGGAAACAATTTTTTATCTGTTGCATGAGATTTTTGAACACATCATAGAAACTTCTGAATCGCTTATTTCAAATCTAGAGGTTTTTTTTCAATTTAAAATACATCTAAGTATCCCCACTTTTCTGTTACGTAAGGAGTAGTATGACGCAGGCGATATTACATGCGATGCGTTACGTTAAGTTCATATGTTTTTTTCTTTATCCTGAGTGTTATTTTCAAGAAACAGACAAATGTATACTGCATATACAGGAACCTGTAAACCTATTCGTTCTTTGTAAATTTGTACTGTACGCCAAAAAAAAAAAAAAAAAAAAAANAAAAAAAAAAAAAAAAAAAAAAAACGATCACTCTGAATATCTTTTGGTCTATTGATCGGATTTTCACGTTCATGAACTCCTTCAAGGGGGTCATCTTAAATGCTAATTAAATACAGCAAACGATATTTTAAGTTACGAAATCAAACACAAAATTGTACTTTCTCTGAATAAACATACCTTTTTTTTAAGCGGATTTGGATTTGTGATAACCAAAATATAGGGGTTAACCGCATTCTGAGAAATATGGTCCTCATAGTTTGACCAGGAGCATGGGTGAAACCGAAACGGCAAAGTGGAAAGGCTTGTAGTAAAACCTTTTCATGTATAGCTAGTTCTTGGGAGGAGTTTACTTATTCTTTTTTTAAATTATTCAACAATATCCACTTTATCATGGAAAAGAAAATTTATATATATGCTAAAATTATTAAAAAAATCTTGATAGTTACAGATATTTTATTTTTTTCGAAAAATGCTGGAAGGAAATGTTTTACGTAAAAGTTTTTTCTCTTCTCCGTCTTGCCATATAAGGGCTTTCACCCATGGCTAGGAGAGCAATCCAAAGTTTGGATCCTTAATATTATGCGTAATTTTTGCGTATTAAGCCACTTCTAGAGAACTTTTTAAGTGAATTGAAAAAATTTTGCACATAATTATAAAATTCGTTTTTTCAAAGATAATTTCATGCAAAAATTATTTTGATAAATATTTATTATTTTATTTGATTATGGTTGAAAAAATTTTGAGTAGTAAGGTATACAATTTTTTACATAATTTTAAAATATGCAATTTTACTTATCAAATGAAAAATTTGAGCAAAATTAGTTGAAAAGTTCCGGAGAAATCGAATTTAAAATAAGTCGTGTATTTAAAATTAATTTCTCAGGAGCTATTCAATCGATTTCACTTAATTTTTTTCATTTTGCCATACATAATTTAAAATTATGTTAGAAATTGTATACCTTACAATTCAAACTTTTTTCGATAATACCTTTAACCCCTTGGGGACGGGTGATTCAGAAAAGCATTCGTACAAAATCAGAATGTAATTAAATAAAAAACGGTAACTTAAATGTAGTCGTTGCTAATTTGACAGACTTACTTTGCTTTTACTTTAATTATTGCTAGTTTAATCATATATATAATCAATGTTAATTCAAAGTATAACTAAATAGTTTTATTTTGAACAAAGTAATGGTGAATTAAATAAATCAAAAAATTATAACTCCGCCCACAAGTAAACAGCTAAAGAATTACTTTGATTACCAGTTTTATCTTTTTACCCTGGTCGATATGGTTTTATACTGGCACGTATTTGTGACAGTCGGCGCGAAAGGGTTAATATTAAAAAATAATAAATATTAATCATATTTCTAATTTTCATTAAACGAATTTCATAATTGTGCATCAAACAGTTTTCAATTCACTTAAAAAGTTCTCTAGATATGGAGAAATAGTATTTAATACGCAAAAAGCAAAATTAACATTAATGGGTCCAAACTTTGGATTGCTCTCTTGACCAAACTATGAGGTCTATATTTCTCAGATTGCGGCTATCCCTTATATTTTTGGGGTCAGAAATCTGAATCCTTCGAAAATAAGGTATGTTTATTCAAAGAAAGTACGTCTTTGTGTCTCATTTCGTAACTTAAAATATCGTCTGCACTAATTAATTTACATATTTGAGGTCACCCCCTTGAACCATTAGGATTGAGTGAACGTGAAGATCCGATGATGAAAATCAAAAGTTTTTCAGGGTGGTTCGTTTTTTTCTTTTTTTTTTCTTTTTTGGATGCACTGTTTAATGAAACAAAAATTAGAACTAAGTTGAAAAGTACCATTTTGAAAAAAAATTCTGTAGCTTTCAGAACAAAACTTTCAGTACTGAATAATACTAAATAACGTAAGATTAATTATTTGCCAATAAATGCAACTAAAAATTTGTTCCCCAAAGTTATTAATTTATGTGTGTCATCAGATAGTGCAACCAATGGAAGTACATCCCCACGATGGATATTTCTTTCGACTTCTTGGTGAACCCAGCCATGGACTGCCTTCACCTAGAATATTTGGTGTTACTCCTGCTACAGGAATAATATACTTGAAGGATGAAGTGACCCTATCCAGAAACTCTGTCAATCTTTATAAGCTTGAGCTTACCTGGAGAAGTCGCGAGGCTGCGGACAGACAATGCAACGTCTTGATAAGGGTCGTGGATACGGGTAAATGTTCCTTTTTATTTGAAAAAAATTCTTTGTGTTAACTGAGCTTACATTGCAATGCAAAGTGCTCATCGCTCTGCGAAAGAAAGTATAGTTTAGCAGACACTTAATCTAACTCTTGCAAAGATTTAGGTATATCAACCGACGTCTTGTAATGTATGCATTAAAATAAATCCATAAGAATCCATCATGCCTTGTTGGCCCATCATAAAAATCTATCATGCCATGATGGGAATGCTACGTTGGCCCATTAGAGAAATCCATCATGCCAATGCTATGCTGACCCATCATAAAAAATCCATCATGCCATGATGGGAATGCTATGCTGACCCATCATAAAAATCCATCATGTCATGATGGGAATGCTATGTTGGCCCATCTTAAAAATCCATCATGCCATGATGGGAATGCTATGTTGGCCCATTAGAAAAATCCATAATGACATGATGGGAATGCTATGTTGGCCCAACTTGAAAAGGTGCCAATTCCTACCTTGGGAAGTTGGGAAGGTTTGATGGTCCCATCAAGCTGTATGATGGTTTTTGATGGGAATCCAAGTTGGTAACCATCATATTTATGTTGGTCCATCAATGGAAAACCATCTTGATTTTTGTCTTAGGTAATTGAGTTCTTGGGTTAGGTAAATAAGAGGATCTTTGCTCTTCGCTTTAATCCTCTGAGCTGTAAGGGGAAGTTCGGTAGAAGATGATAAGTTGAGTTGATTTAATATAATAGGAAAGAATGGCATTTTATATGAACTTTTGACGTATTGCTGCTTAGTGGTAAGTAAATTAATTTTGAATCAAATTTACTAACTAAGCATTATGCATTAAGACATAAATTTTGCTACCATAAACCCATGCCATTGCCTACAATACAAATATTGTCCACCAATAGGGGGGCGTTGGCATTTTTGTTTACTCACTGTTCAACACTAGAAAGACGGAAAATTAGTATGAACCTGTATTGCCCAAAAGCAGTCAAAATGACTGAATTGTGAATGGGTAAATAAATTTGTTTAAGATTAATTTTCAACATTTTTTATATTATTTACAGTTATATAACAAGTTATTAGTAAATATATTAACAATAAAAAAATTATATGTTGTACAAAAAGTCACAAAATTCTAAGAAATTGTGTCATTATATAGATCATTGTTTTTCTAATTGAAATAAAAAGCTGTCAAAATTAGGCAATCTAGTGTTAATAATACCTAATGCCTAAATGTGTGGTTTTTAGAAGAAAAATGGCTTTTTCTAAAAAATGAATTATTCACTTGCTACCGAGAATGTGTAATTTTATGTTTCGGTTATGGACCCTTTCATCTCCTAAATAATTATCTTTTATTTTACTTTATTATGGCAATCAAATATAAAAGGGTAATTTCATACAAAATGGAAAGTAACAAAGAGGAGAAAATATTTCATAGCTTTTCTGTTAATGTATTGAGTAATTTTTTTTCTTCTTATTATTGACTTTTTTTAATAAAGTCAGCATTTATTATTTTCTATTTTATCTCTATATGCTGGAGAACATATATAAAATTTCCTCTTGTAATATTGTTTTATTTTGAAAAATTTAGCAGCTTTCATATCTTTATTGATAAGCGCTTATTATTTCACATAATATCTCAAATTTTCGTACAATTAAATGGAATTTCATACATATTATTGTATTATTTGCTTAGTTGACAAAATCATTTTAAGCTAAATTTACTAAACCACGCATCTATTGCTAAAAAAAAATTCTCACACAGAGCTGTAAGTTTCCATCTCTATATTTACGGATAACCCCTAAAAGTCTATTTTAAGTATATCATTTCTTAAAAATATTAACTTATTATTTTTTCTGATACAGTAGAGAAACCACCACTTTTTAATTTTCAATTAATGCAAAATAATAGAACTTTAAAATAAACTTTTTAGAGTACGTGTAAATAAAAAAGCTTCAATAATGATTCATTTTTAAACATTTCATAAGTCTGCAAATTGTATTTTCAAGTTATTGTACCAAACTTCAACTAATCGCTTGTTTCTTTTCCTTTTTTTTTTGTGTTTAGGGGACCCACGGAGCATCTGCGGTATGTATAGAAAAGATGGAGCTTTTCACATTTTATTCTTTGTACTCCTTATAACTATTTAACCTAATTATTTTTCTATATTTAATACTTCTTATATTTCTTCTTACGTGCATATCATACTTATTTATAGGGATTTTATTTTATTTTGTAACTGTCGTTGAACAGTCGACCCGATTTAGGATTTATGACTGCCAATGTTCAACTCCATAATTTTGTAATTTTGAACCCAATCCAGAAGATAAAGGAACTCCTTAATCTAGTATTGATAGAAATTTGCCTTCGTGGAGGACTTTTTAACGAAATTAACCATCATTTACATAAAATGGAAAACCTCCCATGGTTAGCCTAGTAGAAAGGGGATTCTAACCCATGATGCAGCTACCACTAAGTATATTTTGCGTCAGCACTGTAGTCGGTGCGAGCTGGGTGTGTAATTCGTATCGACCAGCCATCGCTGGAATTTAAACCCGATTCACCTCTTTGGGAGGCGAGTGCTCTATTCAATGCAAGCCAACCCGGTTCTATTTAAAGGAATTGAACAAAATTACGGAAATACTTTTGCACTAACTCCTTGTAAAAAAATTTTCTTCTAGCAAAATATTTTGTTGGAAGATTTTACATGTAAGAACTGTTGGCACAATTTAAAAGATCGCTCTTGAAGCTTTTACAAATGGTGTCCTTTTTTTCCCATGCAAAACTTATATCGACCAAAATAGGTGTATGAAGTTAGAAGCTTTTTTTCAATTTCACAATAATTAAAAAATTCCTTCGTTCATAAATATTGCAAACCTATAGAGTGACTTCGAAGCTGCTGGTATTAACCTCTTTGGAACGGGTGAGTCATAATCGCAACTGTACAGTGTCAAGATTGAAAAAAAAAATTAAAAAGTCGTAGCTTAAACGTGGGCATGGTTTGTTTAACTTACTTTTGCTTTCACTTTAATTCTAACATATTTAATCAATTTAATTTTAAATTGTAACTGTATTTTTTATTATTAGCTAAGTAGTGGTGAATTAAATAAATTAAATGATTATTACCCTACCCATAAATAAACTGCTAAACAAATAGTTTAGCTGCCACTTTTATCTTTTTTACCCTGATTGTCTCAATCTTGAGAATGCATATATAACTCGTCTTCTTCGAAAAGTTTGAAACTTAAAAAAATCTCCTCCCCTCAGTTTGGATTGATTTGAATTTCTATGAGATAAAAAGGATATCATTTCTAAAAGCTCCGAGCACGATCTTTTAAATTGTACCAATAGTTTTACCTAGTAAAATCTTCCGAAAAACATTTGCTGTTTAAAGAAAAATTATTTACACGAAATTTATGTGTGTTTTCAGAATTTTTTTTAACACATTGCTGACCGGCAATTCTTTTGAAAATTACCCCATGTGCCCGGCTATTGTTTTGAAAGCGGACGTGGAAGTAAAACAATATACAAAAACTTGCCGTATGATAAAAAGTAACACAATCACCTATATAAAGTACAGCAAAGAACCCGTTATCCGGAAATCAGAAAACCAAAAAACCAGAACGAAATTCGATAAATTCTTCCGCCATTTTTTTAAAAAATGTTTTTTTTCCTCATAAGATTTTAGGATTTTTCTTTCTTTTTTGAAAGATGTTTACCTTACCATCATTTTGGAAATAATCATTAGAGTATTCCTTCATCGTTTTTTCTTCTTTTTAAGATTATTTCCGAAATTTTTTTTTTTTTGTTGTTGGGTTTAACAATAAAAAAACGGCTTTTTGTATCGATTCAGAAAACCGGAAAAATCAGTTTTCCGGAATAGTGGTGCTCCCGATCGTTCCGGATAATCGGATTCCTACTATATAACAATCACCTATGTCATACCTGCCAACTCTTCCGCATTTTCCGGAAGATTTCATTTTCATATTTAAAGTGTTAGTAAATATATACTATTTTTTCTTTTATAATTTTAATTTTTAAATGATTTTGATCACCACTATTCTTACAAAAATTAAGCACATATATCAATATGCGTTACCATACCTGACGCCCGGTGGCTGAGCGGTAGCGCTTCGCGCTGTCGTGCCACAGGTCCTTGGTTCGATCCTTGGGCCGGGCAAGGCCGACTTAGCCTTTCATCCCTTCAGTGGGTCGATAAAATGAGTACCAAGCATGCTTGGGAACTAACACTGGGGGTTCAGTACCAAGCATGCTTGGGAACTAACACTGGGGGTTCGGCTGACCACCTGACCGGAACATATGTACCTGCACCCCAGAGCCCATGGTCAAGAAAACTGAGATGGGCACAGTCGGCCTTGGCCCTCTTAATGGGCTGTCGCGCCACTGAGTTTTTTAGTTAGTTACCATACCTGGCAACTTTTAATCCCTTCCATTATCATTTTTCCCAGTGGTATTAAAATGGAATTAAAACTTAAACTTTAAGCAAACAAATATGCTGCATTTGAAAAAATTTAAATTGACTACCATGGTAGTACCGCATATTAATATATGTGCTTAATTTCTGAAAGAAAAGTGGTGATCAAAATCATTTAAAAATTAAGTTTATAGAAGAAAAATGGTATATATTTACTACCACTTTAAATATGAAAATAAAATCTTGCGGAAAATCCGGAAGAGTTGGCAGGTATGCGTTATTATCATGGTTGTCAACTTAAGTTATCTCAAATACAACGTATTTGTTTTCTTAAAATTGAAGTTTTAATACCACTGGGAAAAATTATTATGGAAAGGATTAAAAGTTGGCAGGTATGCTATGTGTAACCCTACAACAACAAGTTTTGCAAATATATGTGGTTTCGTAAAGTTATAATAAATTGGTAGAGAATTAAATAGTAAAACTTGAAAAGTAAGGAAAATTACGCCCACTTTTTAAAATAGTCACCACCAGACACTGCTAACGAAAACACGAGTTAACTCGTGACCGGTCAGCAATGTGTTAACCTTGTATGAATTATCGCAACCGAAAAGTTCTGCCCGCTAAAGTACACGCCTCATTTTACAATAATGCGAAAGTTTTTTTTATAAACGAAAAAGGTAGAGTATTTACCCTTTAATTCAATGGTAATGTTGTAGCTTAAAGAGAAGCATTTATAGCCAAAAAAAAAAGCATGAGCATACATGTTCAAACTTGTAACGAATGTATCCGACAGTACTAAGCATGAAAATGGTACTAATAGAAAATGGTGCAACGGAAAAAGTCTATTTTATTATTATTGTTGCTGTTGTAGTTTTGACCAAAGAATATAATGTTGCTTTAAATAGTACAAGAGCCATGCGGGAAGATAACCAAAATAAATATGCTGAGCTCGTCTTTCACTCCTTAGCTTCTTCTAAATAGAAGTGAATTTCTGTCGGCAATCTTAATGGTTCGAGGACCTCACTTTAAATATGTTAATTAATCGGAAGAGATGATATTTTAAGATGCGTAATAAAGCACAAATCTCTGAATAAGCATATTTATTTTTGAACGTATCTAAATTCGTTTCCTTCAAGATATGGCGGTAGCAATCTGGAAAATATAGTTCCAATAGTTTTGGCAGGAGAGAAGCTCGGCATTTTTTGAGCAGCAGCTACCCTCCACCCGTTAGAACACAAAGCATAAAGAAAATAATGGAAAATAAGTAAAGGTGGAAAACGACACTAGATAAATAGCGGTAGCCGAGAGTAGAACAGTAAACCTAAAGTAACCAACTGAAAATAGAAAATAAATGGAGGTTGAAAATAAAACTTGAAAAACCGCAGAGGTCAAAAGAGGCGAATCAGAGCAAGATACTTTTCCAGGTATTTTCGAAAGGTGGCGAGGAACTTATGCCGTTGACAAGGAATCCGCATTTATATAAAAGAAACAAATTTCATCAGCTTTATTTATTTTCCATTTTTCCCTCGACAACTATTCTGCTTCAAATCTCTTACTTTCCTCATTCACGTTTGGTGAGCCTTGAGAATGGGTACCCAATTTTGAGTGCTCGTAGCATGTCGTCTTTTTCCACTTCGATGTTTTTTAAGCAAGCTTTTATTTTATCAAATGTATCTTTACGCTTCAGTTAATTGGGATAATTCTTTTAAAATGTTTAATTTCTTTTCAAGGAGTAGAACCTGGCCATCATTTTCAGTCTTGTTCTTCGCATGGAACTGCCGAGAACTGCACCTCCAGTTGCGGCAGAGGATCCGTAGATGGATATTGCAAATGGCGTCCACATTCAGCTCCTAGTCTTGTTAGTTCCTATGCTACATGCTCCCCGCATTTGAAAACTTGCCCGGATGGTTTTTGTGACGAGCTAGAACGCTTGGATCCCCTACTGTGTCCTCAAGACTGTGCTGGTATTATCTGTCTGGATGTATATCTGATTTTATTTTAAATTAATAATTCTAATATTTCTTTTTTATTAACTAAATATTATTTACTCTTTGATACAGAGGGAACACCGATGTTCCTTTTATATATTTTTATCTGGCACTCTAATTAAAAGCAAAATTATATTTTGGTAAATTTTAATTATAAAAAAAAGTGTAATAGTTACTAAAATATCTATTGGATTATATTTGTGCTAAAATAAAAATTCACTTTGGAAAACGTCTGCAGGAAATTCTTTGGAAACATTACAAAACTAATTTGAGATTTAAAATCTCCACGCTCGAATTAGATCAAGTGCCGTCAGATGGGGTGACTTTGTGCAACGAGCGATGACTTTGTGCAAACTGTATTTTGTCAATTACTAGCATTATAATAATTAAAAACAAAACGTTATGCATGATTTGTTATCTCGATAAGACTTTTAAAGCATAACCTACCTTCCTTGCCAGTATAACTAGAACTTCCTCAATCGAGCAGACTTTCCAGCCACCGATTTTACGACGTTAAAAAATTTGAAACTGTTTGTAACTTGAGCTCACAATTTTCCAAGAACTATGATGTTTACATTGCCAGTTCTAGGTATACCATTAGTTCGTTATGTTGACAACTCAAATCAGTTGATACCGAGCTTGAAAAAATACCCCTAGATAGCACGACGCAAAAATTGAAAAAATGACAGTTTGCACAAAGTTACCCCTCGTTGCACAAAGCCACCCCATCTGACGATACCGGTATAAATGCAACAGACAATTTCTTCCCCTATTGCACTTTTATAAAAGTGAATTTAATTTTTAAAGCACAGAGCAAATCATTGATGAACTTTTTATTTTGAACATAGCTCTAATTTCTCGTTTAAGAAAATATTATAGCTTGATATGAGCAATAAAAATATGAATATAGCTAAGAATGTGTAGAGAAGTTAATAGACATTGCTTTAAAGGAGTGTTTCAAAATGAGCATAGTTCAAAATGTGTATTTAAGAAATGGACATAACAAATTATTCGTTTTTCAAACTTTTGTTTCATAGCTGTTGTATTTAAAACTAGGTTTACGGACGTTTCTTATATACCTATCTCTACGAACGCGCGTCAATTTGACGCATGAACGAATACATATAACAGCACTTAACAGAGATGCCAACTTGCTCCGGACAGCAAATATATATTTTTTAAAGTGGTAGTTTATCAATTGTGATTCTTGGTTTAATAAATTCAATTCAGTAGATTTTTATCCCCCACTATTTCTAAATAATTCGTAGGCTTATATAATTCACCACTTTTTATTTGCAAAATTTACTTAGTTATTTAACGTTTTTGTAAACATGTTGACGCGTCCGGAGCAGTTGGCATCTCTGCGCTTAGAAAGCATTGTAATTATATACAAAAAAAATTTTAAATATGAGATATATGTTTATGAAATATTCTTGTATTCTATTTTTCAATACTCGAACTAAGCACCTGAAACATTCAAAATCTGACATTCTGCGTTTGTTCTTTCTGTTTTTGCTTATCGGCAACAGTTGTATATCGCTTGTTTAATTTGAGATATCGGATAACGGATCGAAGTATCGCTTTTGAAGAAAATAGACTTCAATGTATATTTACCTCGATCAATGGATAAAAGTCATTACAAGAGATAAAATAAAAATACAAACGGGTTTTGTAATTTTCCTTATAAAATTCGTAATGCTTCAAAATGACGCGTCCCGTAAACCTAGTGTTAACGATTTTACAAGAATTGATTAGTGAATAATTATTACTCGTAGTAATTAGCTAAGCAAATTAAAAACTAAGCAAATCTTCATGTGTCAAATTTGTAATGTAGATATTAACATGGAAAAAGCTCACTATGTGCTATGTCCGGTTTTATTAAAGCTTATTTCAAGCTACAATTATTTCCTTAAATAAGAATTTTGCGCTACTCCTCTTTTTTCAAAAAACGAACGTATCAAGTTGCGTTAATTTTTGTAAACGCAATTCTTGAGCTCTATTGATTTTTTTAAACTTGCGTTTTAAGCAATGCCCAGTGTTCGTTGCTTTTAAAACATTTACCATAAGCTAAAAGCTCACCTAAATTAAAAGCGCACAAACGATATACGTTAACAGTAAAAATAACCATGCAAAGTTTAGCGAAATGTTCTAGTTCCCTTCTGTAGTACTACTATTTTATTTTATTATTATTTTTATTATTTGTCAATGTGTTTAGAAAACATCCGCGGCGAAGCTGTTCGTGGCTCATCAGGAAGAGGTATTGGGAAGTCTGCGGCACCCTGCACTTGCTCCGGACCTAACTCCTGTATTTGTCTACGCCCATATCCAATCAAGAGGAAGCACAAACCCTCATTCAAGGAAGAATTAAAAACGTCCAATGAAACGCACATTAAGTCATACCCCATTGGAAATCAAGACGGTAAATTTCAATTCTTACTACTTCTTTTTTAAAAGTTTTTATCAAGAGTGTGAGATACTGATACGTCATCAATACATCCTGCCTGCTCCATACCTGCCAACTCTTCCGGATTTTCCGGAAGATTTTGTTTTCATATTTAAAGTGGTAGTAAATATATACAATTTTTTCTTTTATAACCTTAATTTTTAAATGATTTTGATCACCACTATTCTTACAAAAATTAAGCACATATATTAATATGCGTTACTATCATGGTTGTCAACTTAAGTTTGCTCATATACAACGTATTTGTTTGCTTAAAATTGAAGTTTTACCACTGGGAAAAATTATAATGGAAAGGATTAAAAGTTGGCAGGTATGCTGCTCCATTTCCAGGGTCAGAAAGAACTTCAACGAGTCTTAAACATATTAGAAAAAGCTTACGAAAACGGAACAAATAACGATATTTGAAACATTAGTGATCACCACTATATATCTTTTTAAAAATTATATAAATTTATTCAAACGTATGCATTTATAAGGAATCATTAAGCAAAAAATCACATCAAGAGAATGCTAGATAAACTAATACACAACGCATTTTAACAATTTGGTTCAAAACTAAACTGTTACATTTTGCAACGTTTACACTTCGAAAGACAATTTGTGTAGCTGAGCCCAAGCCTCCACACGGTTTTTTTATAGGCAGTTTGATCAGACCACTATGAAGTTAATCCAGTTTTTGAAGGAGTCATTTAACACCATGGGCATACCCTCCAACTTATGAGGATTTTGAAAATAATTCTTTCTAGTGGTAGCGAACCAAAGTAGAAATTTTTAAAGCAAATGGATCTCTCATAAAACTTTTATCAGAACTTAAGAATCTAGCCATATGGCCTGCACTTTTATAAGTAATAGTGGACAAGTTACGCTAAAATTAATTTTTCTAAAATATTAAGACATTAATTTTGCTACCGTCTGAAAAGAAGATTTCTGAAACTACGGAAATTCCGTAGCAGTTGGAGGGTATGCATGGGTGAAAGCCCTTATATAGCAAGACGGAAAAGAGAAAAACCTGGTACGTAAAACATTTCATTCCAGCATTTTTTTCGAAAAAAATGAAATATCTGTAACTATCAAGATTTCTTTTATAATTCTGGCATATATATAAAACTGCTTCTTTTCCAAGATAAAGCAGATATTGTTGAAAAATTTAAAAAAAGAATAAGTAAACTCCTCCCCAAAACTAGCTATAACTGAAATGGTTTTACTACCAGCCTTTCCTCTTTTCCGTCTCGCTTTCACCCCTGTTTAACACGTTCACGCCGGGGTGACCCACCGGTGGGTCACACTAGATTGTCTCATCGGGCGGCGCACTGGAGTAAAAACTGGTAACAAATAAATCTCATTTTTTTTTCCAGGAATAATAAAAATCCATAACTACCAATTGTTTTTAACGGATGCAATTTGTATATTGAATTGCTTTTTCGCCGTGATAAATTTCTTTACAGTGAATTGTTATTGTTGAGAATTGGATTAACTCCTCCCGAATATTATCTAATATTGAAATAGTTCTTCTACCAGTATTTTCTCTTTTCTGTCCCGCTTTCAAGCGCAACACCCGGCGTGAACGTGTTGATAAAAATCTAGTTAAAATAAGAAAGTGGTAGCAAATATATAGCTACAAATTCGTTTAATTTATTAACCCGTTTTGTCCCGAATTTATATATTGAAATGGTACAAAAAGTGATTTTATAGGAAAAGTGGTATAATATATTATCGAAATTAATTGGTTTTTCTACTGTTAGGGTATTCAAAAAGTCTTTGATAGATCTAAAAGTACTTGCTCCTTATAATTCTAGATCTAATCAGAAATAACTAAATCATTGTGGTATCTGAGAATCTTTTAATTCACCCAGATAAATGAAAATACTGAAAAAAGTTTCTCACCACAATGAATGTCTCTGAAAAAAAGGAACTGTCCTAAATATATGACGCTGGGCGTTAATCGGTTAATATGATTAGTTAATCTTATTTACTTGTCAACCACTACAGATTCTCAGAAATATATGGGTGATTCTTTGGAAATATGACAATTCGGAGCTAAAAATTTCTTCAAATTTAAAGTCTTCAAAATAATCTAAATTTTTTTTGTGTACTTCTTTAGTTACATTTATTAATATCTTACAGACAGCAGTGTAGTTTATTGACGTTTGCTCAAGAAAAAAAATAAACTAGAAATTCACCAAAACTTGAATGCTAGGAAAATGACATTTTAGCTTAGAAGCTTAAAAAACAGTCATTTTAAGTTAATAATAAGTAACTCAACTTAAGCCATTATGTTAGATGGACTATCAATTGCTTAAATTAATTCTTTTTATCCACTGTAGAAAGAATCCAAAAAAAATTGTTGCTGATATGTACAGAATAAAATTTTGTATAATAATCAATCATTAAATAAATAAATAACTTTGATTACACTCAAGCATATTACAATTATACATAAACTTGGTATTAGGTTAATATTTGCTTTCCCCCTTTGCAATATACAGTTTAAAAAGTTTTCTGGTGACACGTCAATGTCCTGGCATTCATGAGCCAGGATAATGACAAATTTGCTATTTTATAGCATTTAACTTTAACATTTTGGCCTAAGACGTTTACATTCCGTAGAAAACAACAGGATTTCTTGAAATAACTCAGATAAATTAGGTTTTTAGGTTAGGTTAGGTAGTAAAAAGTTTATGTTAATGATTTAAAGAAGACAGGAAAATGACAACATAAAAACCTACTCACCTTGAAAAAATTTTTGAAATAGATTTTGAACCAGAAATTTGGTTCTTTATTCATGGCATGTTCAGATAGGATGGTATCTAATCAATCTATTAACATAAAATATTGATTGCTGGCTCTATCTATTTTGGTTATAAATCACTAACTAAAAGTAGCCAGTAAAATGACAGATTTTCATGTGACAAACAAATTAGTGACAGAAAAATTTTTTTCAAATGAATTTTTAGTAAATAATACCCTCTGCGTTTCTTCTAGAAATGCTTACAACGGTTGAGGTTAAAAAAAATTGATATTGAAAAATTTATGCGAAGTTTTAAGGCAAGTTATTATTGGAAATATTGTTTGTGACATGCCAGAAACATGACATTTTGATATTCAATTAAATTTTTTAGCTATACAAAACGGTCAATGCTAGTGCAAAGTCATTTTAGAATGCTAACAGAAATGCTATTTATTAATTTTCTTTAAAACAAAGTTCCTTTAGTAGTGTATTATATCTTGGAGCGAGGGACTGTGGATTGTCATATTTCGTGAGAATCACCCATGTATGATAAATTTCTCTTTATTACTTTTAAAATAGAAATTGAGTTCATGCGCTCAACTGGTTCACTTTTTAAATAGTCAGCGCAGACTACTTTCAAAATACAGTGTGGAGGTTTTCTGGTGTAAGAGGTGATGACTGACCGGGACTTAATTATTGCTCCACTCACTTAACCAATTGTTTTTCAGAGAATTCTGCTACATATTTTTTTAATATTCTATGCTTAAATTTTTTTATTGCGATATCTCTGTTGAGATCCTATACTCTTTGTGAATAGACGTTGAAAGGCATACCTGACAATTTTTAATCATTATGGGGGTGATTTTCCCCAATGGTAGTAAAAGTAAAATTGAATTACAATAATAGGCAGAAATATGTTCTTTTTATGACTAAAAAGTTCAAGCACTCAGCCATCTGATGAATTGAACTAAATTTATTACTTGGGCAACTCGTGCCGCTTTCGTCCTTTTCCCCATTCATCATGAAAATACAAGTAATATGCAAAAAAAAATTGGTCATTTTAAAAAGAAAGAAAAAGTAGAAAAGAGGCGGGGCAGTTATCGCCATACAATATTACATATATAGTAATAAATAATAAAAAGTGTTCTTGATCTTTAAAGTTTCTAATGAATACAAGTTATTTGAGGAATGTCTCTATGTCCATTATATATCATGTAGTTGCCTAGGAGGAGAAATAGGGATTATAGTGTGATATATAGAAGTGATGTATAGAAGTGAGGGACAGATGTTAGTTACATATTTTGGAGCTTAGAAAAGGAGGCGTCACTGCAGTAGAAAGCAGCTATGGGTCTCTTAGAGATGTCTTCTCTCAGATTTTCTAAGAGAAAAATTTCATTGCAGTTAACAGCCTCTCACTTGGATGCCTTAACAAAAAATTTTGAATTTAATTTGGCAATATATATTGATCGATCGAATCAATATTTTAATTTCTTTTATTGAGGTCTTCATTAATTTCTTTGTTACGAACAAACCATTGAGCCTTGTTGAATTTCCGTAGAATTTTGCTTTCAATCCGAATTTGGCATGAGTTTAATGACACCATTTATTAAAGCTTCAAGCATGATCTTTCAAATTGTGCCAATAATTTTGCTATATAAAATCTTCCAAAACAATTTTCTGTCCAAAAGAAAGATTGTTTACATAGAGTTAGTATAGAAGTATTCACATTATTTTATCCTGCACCAGTAGAAATTTCACTACATTGTTTCATTCTTTATTCTAGATTGGACAGACTGTGGAACTGGGTGCAAATCTATGATTGTCATAGTTTCCCTTATAGTGAGCGGACTTATAGCCTTTGCTGGATTTCTATTGTATCGTCGTATCATGAATAAATCAAAGGCAGATGGTTACCCAACTATCACAACGCCTCTTAATCCTTTGGCTCAGTCCAACGAGTTTCATGTGCAAGATTCTCACCCACTTATGAGGACAAGGGTACTGACATAAATATATGTTTTATTATATAATTTTAGCGTATAAATTGGTTAGAACTATTAAACCCCCTTCAGTAAGAGTTTTTAGATATTTAAACTATAGGTTTCTTTTCCTTTGCACATAGTATGCTATTAGGGAACGAGAACAACATTGGCTGATATGCCCGAGCAATATTAAGAGCCCAATCGCTCATGTATTTTTTATGCTTACTTAACTTGTTGTTAAATACCTATCTGCAAACAACACTATCAATTTGGTGCAAAAATATGATCTTTAAAATAGTGCAATTGTACAACCATATCACAGTATTCCTTCAAAGCACTTTCTGTCGATTTATTTCATGGCCTCCTAAAAATATAATAATAGTTTATTTATTCTCATTCACTGACAAGGTAACATTTTGCGGTGTTTAAGAGAAATTTCTTTTCGTGATATTCGG